GGAGCTCTGTAGCTATGTCCCAGCACTGAGGCAGCCAGAGCCACGGGTCAAACCATCAGTGAAAGATGCCACCCCTAAGGCCATGGAAATGGCCTTACTGTACTTAAAACTAAGGGGTTCAATGGGAAAGGTCACAGAGAACTGGAATTAAGTACAAGGTCCCAGTCATACTGACATTTTTCTAATAATTGACAGGGTACAAAAAGTTTTCACATGTATGTCAGCATTTCCGGTTGAAGAAGCTGAAGTTCACTTGTCAAACAAGGTGGTGGCCCCTGGGCCCACCTCCCACTTCCCACTTGGCAGCCAGATGCACTCTGTTTTGCACACACAGGCCTGTACCCCAACTGGTTCTGAACAGAAAAGCTTCTCTGACTGTGATTCACTTGTGCTCTCCTCTCTCTGCAAAGCAGTAAACTTACCCTGACAGTTCACCTATGTTCTGAAGGCCAGACCACTGACATAGGGCTCTGGAAGCTATTGGATACTTTTATTTTTCCTATGTCAATTATATCTAGGATAGGCATTATGTCCCTTTAACTTTTACATAAAATAACTATTAATTCTTAATACAAAACCAAAACCCTGATGCCATATGTACAATGTGAACAAAATTTGTGCAATGTAATTAACTGAAGAATACTGTATCATCAGTGATCAGGCCAGGTCCTACATTTCTTCAAAAGAAACAGGTAAAATACAGGTACTGCCTAAAGTGTTAAATTAAAATCAGCAAGTTACAAACACATTTAAAAATTATTTTTCCCCGTCAAAATTTTCATGTTATTGCTTTGACAAGGGAAGATAGAATTTCTATTTTCTTGCTTAAAAACAATTCTCCCCTGAAAGGCTATTCTGCTAAGAAGGGCTAGGAGACAAGATAAATAACTCTTAATATCCTGAACCCTAGAACACTTCTGTCTGTATAGGAATATCCTTTTTGAATTCATTAACCGAAAATACAACATAAGCAAGGGAAGTGCCCAAGTTTAACTAGCAGAGGAAAGACAGTCCTATCCCATGTGTGCACTTGCTGCAAGGGGAAACACACAGTGGTCCTGAAATGATACACTGCTGATTTGGTACAAATGCTTTATAATTTAGACAAAACTTTAAATGCTCAATGATTAATTTTTGTCAACAGATGCACATCTGTCCCAAGGACAGTGCAAAACAAATAAACCAGGAATTGGACAAATGGCAAGAGAATTCTGCCACACTGTGACAAGTGCTAATTCATTTTCCATGAAGACACTTGAAAACCTCTAAGTAAAAGATAGCAGTTTAAAATCCACTTATTCTAGACAATCTTGTAGTATAGTTTGGATTCCCTCACTGAGGAGTGGCTGGTGCGGGAGGCACTGGTCAATGTGGAGGACCTGTAGGATGACACCAGAGGCCCCTCGGGGGTCAGTGGCATCTCTTTCTGACATCAGGCCCAGGCCAGCAGGCTGCCCACAATGAGGTCAGTGCACAGCACTCTGTGCAGTCATCCCAACATGAGAGTCTGTACTTTACATGTTACACTGTCTTTGTTGAGAATGAGGATATTAATTATGAAAGACAAATACAGCCTTGTACACTAGGTTTTGGAAAAAATAGTGTGTATGTATGCAACTGAACACGGTCCACAAAGCAGCACAAGTAGTAGGCCAAGTTCATTTAGTGGACAGCAGCATCTTATTCTTAATGTTATGAGCTTTGTAACATTTATTAATTGTACCGAGTTCAAATCACAACTCACTATGAAGAATGAAAAATACAAAAATATTTTAAATAAATAGTTTTTTATTCAAAATACCTAGGTTTCTTACCTTATTCACAGTTTCAAGTTAAAAATGAAAAAAATGGGGTAATATCTATCCTTAATCAACTGTTTATATATAAGGTCAAAGAAAAGCAAATCCCTTTAGAACATGCATTACATACAGACTACTGCGTGACGGCTGGTCTTCAGGAAATCTTGCATCGAATCTTAAAAGGGTACACTTTTCTGTGCAATTTAGAAAAAAACATTATAGATGTACAGAAAGTTTCTTTAACCCTTTTGAACCTATTAGATCATTTGGATAAAAGTTCCCTAGACCAAAGTAACATTTCATCCAAAATAATCATAGCTTAACATACTTCAGAAATATTTAAGACTGTAATTGCATCACAGAAAGTCTAGTGAGGTACCATGTCCTTCTCAAAGAAATAAGTGGTGGAAGCTTTTGGGTTGACTCTGGTTTTAGCACTTTAAATGAAGAAGCCAAAGAACCCCACCATAATTTGTCTGCCGTGGGAAGAACTGCATGTTTCCACTGTTCTACCTGCTGAAATGGGAATTTCCTCACATTTAATGAAATGCAGCACCAAATGGACAAAGCAGCTCCCATGTCCAGAAGGCACTGACAGCATGGTGACGGACACAGATCCGTGCGTATCACTGGATGGCCCCACCACTCACAGCACTGCCTCCACGGGCAAGCTGCTCCAGCAGATGGATGATGAGGTCGATTCTTTCCAAAAGACTGGCGCTTTTGTTTGCAGTTGCTCTCAAAAGCTGGGAGTAAATTTGCTTGTTGGTTTTGAAGACCACATCCTCGTCAACGTTACTGCTGGGATGAAGAAAGAAAAAGTGAAGGCAACAGTGGAAATGGTCCCAAAACAAACAGTAACAGGTCAACAGTCACATTAGACAGAGGTGCAGGTGTTCCACTAATGCCTCTCATCCCTACCTCTTATACCTACTGTTCTTGGACCTGCTTTTAGACATGTCAATACACCAATTAAAACCAGTATTCATGCTTTTTATAAATACCTGAATGCCTACTGTGCACAGGGAGCTGCTCTTGGTAGTGAACTAGACAAAAAAAAAAAAAAAAATTCCTGCTTCCTGCTAGGGGTGGAGGCACCAGGAGATAACATACACCAAACAATTAAGAAAACAGAGCATCAGATGACAAATACCACAAAGGAGAGACACTGGACATGGGCCAGAATAGAGGGGAAGTGGAACAGGACTTCCAGTGTGTAAGCCCAGCCTAGAGACCCCTGGACAGTGTGGACAAGTTCACATCTAAAGCAGCTGGAAGGGCACCAGCTTGAGCCACCCAGAGCTGCCTGCACAGCTCTGCCCAGGGGCTCCAGCACCCTCATTCGCTCTAAACTCAGCAGCTCAAATGCTGGCTCAAGAAAGGCCCTCAGCTGGAGCATATGTTACACTATGCCCTTTTGCTTACTTTTATAGTTTGTTCTGAAAATTTTTTACCTCTCATGGTAGATCAATTAATTATATTTATGTTAATATTGTAAAGACTAGTAATCACATGGCAGTTTAATTCTAGTATCTTTTTTATGTGTCTAGATGCAATAAAAACTGGGGAACAGTTGATAGTTCCAGGATGGCTTACAATGTACAGGACCATAGCTGAGCCTGCCAACAACCCTGACCCTTGGAAGGGCAAGGACTAGTATTATTATTTTACAGAGGTAAAAGTTAAGGCCCAGAGAGCTTCATAATTTGAATCAGGGTCAAAATGTCATGTTTTCCAATGTCTCCTTCCTTCCCTCCCTCCCTTTTCTTTTTCCTCTTCCTCTTTTTTTTTTTTTGGTGCTAGTGGTGGAGCTAGAACCCAGGGCCTTCTTCTCACTAAGCATGTACCAAATTTCATGCCCAGTCCATTTTCTAATTTGCTACACTATCTTCCTGCTCTTTTTCCTCTCCAGTGTGCAAACTCTCTCCCTTAACCAAAGTGACCTTCAGGCCCGCTACAGAGCACTGTGCCAGTCAGTTTTCAGGAATTCCTTTTTCCCCTTCCACTCATGTCTCCTCCACAGTCTGATCACCCCCTTTAGAGACTTATTTCTCCCTTCAATTCTCATTTATCAGGCAAATCTCTCTTCCCCCCAAAACTTGCCACAACACGTGACAGTAACTATTCACAATGCACTTACTATCTGCAATTTGTACCAACGACTGGCTATGTTTTTAGTTTTATGGGGGGCTAACATTCCCAGAATTTCTGATAACCTTATAGAAATTTAAATCACTCTGAAAGTAATCAAGCCACTAGCACTTAACCAGAAAAAGGGTCTGAAATATGAATTGTTTTCTACGGACAATGATAGCACATATTGTCATGCGGATGCCTAAAGATAATAACGGCTACTGGGATCACAACTTTTAACCCTTTTGATTTCTTCTGAACCTTAGATTTTTGGTTCCCAATTTCTACAAATCATGCCCTTTCTCAATTCATTCTCACGAGCAGTTTCACTGAAGTATGACCCTTATTCATTGGGCTCTATTATTTCATATATAACTAACTCACTTTCATTTACTTTCCTTTTTATTCAGCTAAATACTAGATGTATATATCTGGCTGGCAACAACCCATAAAACTTAGGGATCTATCCTCTGCACTGCAGTGCAGGGCTTCCTGAAGACTCAGAGTTCACTTCTACTTTTTAGTTTTTCATTATTTTAAACCGTGGTGCTACCAAAATGTTAATAG